GCTGTCACTGGAATTGCTCTCTCCATCACCTGCAGACACGGCCACCTATTTCTGTGGCACCAGAGAACTGGCAAAGGCCACAGTGCTTGAAAGAGAGTCAGGGCCAGGGCAAAACTGGAAGGAGACGTTTTAAAGCCAGACAGGTGTTTTGTGGTTGGTTGCAAGAAAGACTAGTCTGGTCTGGCTTTTCCTAGAAATAGGCGTAAGATGCTGCAGCAGAAGCCGCATGAGAGTCTCCCACAAGCACATTCAGAATGTTCTTTACCTTATTCCTTCCTTTGCAGCCTGTCCCATAGGCAGAAATTTACAGAGAAAGGAATGTTGTGGAGGTTTTTTTTCAGAAGAAAAATAGCAACCGTTGAAGAACTAATATTTGAAAATAGAAAAAGAGATGTTAATTCAATTTTGAAATCTTTTGTTGTTTAGGGACAGCTGGAGTAGTTCAACAGAAGGAGTCGAGCTTAATAGCACCATGTTTGTTCTGTGTGCATATATGCTCATGTGCATACACTGAGAGCCAGCATGGATTTTTCTGTGAGGAACTGCAGAAGGAAGGAAATGGAGGGCACCCTGCACCAGATCTTCAGTCCTCCATGACCTTGGGGCCGTGGGGATCCCGTCATGTCTTACCATGCTAGGACAGCTCCAAGTATCAAAGTACACCTTAGGCTGCTCCGGCCCTGCATCCCGCTTCTTTTTTTCTCAGCCTCAAGTGTCCAGTTTCGTTTGGCTCCTCTACCCTCTGCGAGTCCCCTTTCCATGCCTGTCCTGGGTATTCTTGTCAAGAGGCCATGTTAGACCTCCCAGAAGAAGGAGTGGTGGGGAAGGATTTAGACAGTCTATGGAGAGGCAGTGTTGAGTTGGCAACACTCCTCAAAATGGTAGCACGTGTCAAGGCAGTGACACCAAGTCGGGGCTCTGTAGATGTCCCATCCTGTGGCCCAAGGACAATCTCTAGGTTCCTGCTGACTAGGATGAGGACAGAGAATTGTGTGTTCCTGCTTTGCTGAGTAGCCTCAAGAGTGTGGTCCCAGCTGAGTCCTGTGAATATGAATTTTGGGGGATGAATTGGGAGGCTTAAAACTGCACATCTAGCCTAGAGGTTCAGCACTGAGGGCACCTCTGTACTCACCTGCCTCTTTGCTGCCTCTTTGCTGCCTTTGCTGCCTTTGCTGCTTGGTGGTTGTGAGAGGTCTTTGATAAGAAGATGCAGCTGGAGAAGTTTCAACACAAAGGAGCAAGGGAGGAGTAGGGTGCTGCGACAGAGTGGAGGGAGCAAAAGAGGAACATGTCTGCCTAAAGTCCAGCAAGTGAAGCTGGATTCATGGAGGTCCCAGACAGGAGCAGCTTCTCAGCAGAGACAATGGACAGGGGCCACCTGAAAGGACAATCTGCCATGCCCCAGGGCCACGTCCAAAGTCCCAGGAACACCCTGCAGTCCTTCCTGAGAGAAAGGTTATGGTGGCCCCACAACAACACGTCACCTTTTAGGTAACAGAGGTCTTCCTGTCAAGTGAATGCACAGTTCCTGCAGCCTGCAGGGTGAGACACCCAGGAGTGCACCAACAGCTTCAACCTCTGCTGCTCCTCACCTTCACTGTTTTCACAGAGTGAGGGAGTGAGGAGGAGGGACTAGGACTGGCTGCAGTGAGAGAGGCACAGACAGGGAAAATGTGGGCAGAGCTGTTGTGCAGGCAGAGAGGAGCTGGAGGGAGGCGAGACAGATCGATCCTGACCATGTGGTGTGTCATGTGCGTGGGGTTATTGCACATTGTAGGTAAGTGGAAGGAAGGGATGATGCCCCTGGGGAAGTGAGCCTGTCCCTGTGCTCTGCAGAGCTCTGTGGAGCTGCGCTGATCACCTGCAGCCTGACCTGCCCTGTGGCTCGACCTCCTCAGCCATGCCTGCAGAGCAGGGTGGGC